AATGATTAACGTACCACGGAGTTTGCAGACTTACTGCAGCTTTAACTATATTTCTTACTATTTTAGATTGGTATCATTGCAGTATTTTTATTTTGGAGATACTTGCAGTGCCCCAAAGTTATATAGCATCTGTCAAGATCGGTTCAAACATAACTTTATATAACAAATTTTTTTTTAATTAAAAATTTGACCCAAGAAGATAATAAATATTTTTCGTTTTGTGGACTAATAGCTGGGACTATATAGTTTCAATAACAAGGTCTCCGGTTTAAGTGTATCCGTATGTATCTATGTATGTATCTCATAAACTCACATTATAGTACAGTAATATGGTTAAGATTAACTTATAAATCTTATTATAAGATTTCTCTTATGAGAATGATTACAAAAGTGCTGAAATAAGAAAGAATGAAGTGTTTGGTACTGCACTTGATCCATTACTTTTGTAATTTTTCTGCAACTGAATATATTACTAGAAAACCCAATCAACATTATTTCTTCAGTTTTGACGATTAATTTAATATATGTATGTTTTACATTAAATATATTTTTTCACAAAATGTGATCCATATCCTCTATCGATTTAAATAAGGCTGTATGCTAGACTCTATTATATTAATATAAAAGTACCAGAGTAAAAAAACTGGCTCTTTAAAATAAACGTTCCATTTAAAATCTTTTTTTTGAAATTAGCTCTTGTTTTTTATTACTTTCAGCTAACACTCTTTCTTATTTTATTTTTATTTCATTGATTTCTATTAAAAAAAAAATATATTTCAGGCTTTTTTACTGACGTTTCCTACAAAATTTTATTGTGAAATTATTCTTTCGTTTTTTTTTTTTGTAATACACTTAGCTGACAGTTTTTCTTATTTTAAATTCTTATTCCGTTTATTAGTAGTGTTAACTAACACTTTGGCTATTGTTTATTACTATATTACAAAGTAATAAAATAATTCCTTTGCTGTGTTTGATATTTTTAATTTTCTTGTTGCAGTTTTCAGTTGTATTTCTTTCTCAATATTTAAATTTAGAAAATGCGAAAATGATTTTTAATTATATGTTACAATCATTACATTTTATCGTTTTGTCGAAGTTGTCTGTCTAGACTCCCAGAAAGTCACTCTGGAACTACTTTTTCATATATTCACAAACTGTGAAACCAGTTTAAATAGCGCCAGTCAAACAAATAGGTGGTTATTGTTAAATTGATAGTCTTATTTTGCTGATCTGGTATATATATAAATATTATGTAAAAATTACTTAGAAAATATTTTCTTAACAGGTAGGAACCTGGAAATACTTTAGAGTAAAAAAATCTTATCGTAGAATCGTAAGCGTATTTTAAAAATTGTCTATAATTTCCTTTCATTGCATTAATTTAATTTCGGTCTATCATCGCATTAAGTAGCGTTTGATATTTTAACGCAAAAAATGATTCAATTTCTGTCAAGCGTCATATAAAAATTTTTAAATTAAAATAGCATTAAATTTTTTAATATAATTTAAATTTTTTTGTTTTATATAAAATGTGCGTAAGCACGAAAATGGCTTCGTTCATCCGCCCACTTTGCGCGTCCTCATCATATATTTTTATACTCTGCCTTACTTACAGGTGGCAAATAAATTTCAATAATGAAAGTGTTTCATTTGTGTTTCAGTTGTGTGGACCCAAAGAATCATATGCGGCGTTTATGCTTGTAAATGTAGGTTTCTAGTATATAAATACATCCATTTAAGTTTTATTCTGTACACTACGGCGTATGACTATCTTGGCGCACAGCACTGCCAAGAAAAGCGTGAGTCATAGAAGTTGATATTTAGTTCTTTTCATTATGTTTTTCTTGTTAATTTGATGTCTTGCCAAATGTGCTTTCCTTGGATGTCGAATGTTACGTATAGATGCATATATCTGTAGATGTGTAAATGTGTAGATATCTGTCGATAGGTTGGTTTGTTAATTTATCTTATGAACATCTTCATTCCTGATTGCTGATCACCGAACCATCAACAGCAATTTTACTTTTTTTCACTCTGTAACAAATTAAGTTTTCCTTTATTTTTGCAGTCAAAAAAGACATTGTTTTTACGTGCGGTGACATTTGTTTTAATCCATTTAAATCTATTTTATCCATAGTTGTGCTTAAATGAGATAGTAAATGTTGCATAAAAAGATTTTTAAATGCTTTGTACTTCACGCACACGCCTATTTCCATATTTCATCGTTAATTGCAAAACTGAAAATCGACATCCTCTAGTGAAAAATTGAGTTCAACAAATGTTTGGGTTAAAGATTTGTCACAGATTTCATTTAATTATTGTTCTGTTTATTTTTTGCTGAGTTTGATTCAATTTCATTTGCCCTGTCACAACGTTTTTCAATATTATAATTAATCATTATTTAGAATTTGTTTTCTTTTCAAATTGTTTATGGAAATCGTAATAATAAAATATTTTATATAAGGAAATATAAAATATAATATTCAATCTTCAAATAAATTCATCAAAGAAATAGAAAGAAATAATGATTTTTTGCTTTGATAATTTTTAAGTAGGATAATTAGAAAATAAGTTATTACGTATATAAAATAATTCAAAAAAATATTGGCAGTTGGTAATAATTAAATTATTATACACAGAAAAATATACTCTAACCACATATTAATTAAATTGATCTGATCATTTTGTTAGAATAACGTTAGCATATGTGGTAAAGAAGACATGTTTCTGTCTTCTTTCGAGTATTGCCAAATACCCATCATCAGTGGTCTTGTAAATATTATAATTATATATTTAATTATACGTAAATAATTTGTTGAAACTGCAAGTACTACGGATTGAACTCGTACTTTATTTTATTTTAAATTTTTAAAATTAAATGTAAAAGTAATAATTTTGATATCTATATTTTTGAAATTGCAGTATAATTTATTTCTAAGCTAAGCTTGAATAAAGCCAATATATATTTCGACTCAATAATGTATAAGAGTTAACTAACACACTTTAAACTTTTTTAAAGTTTTTAAAATGATTAAAGAGTATTCGAATTTGCCCAGTATTAAAAATTGCATTAAAGATATACGAAAGTAACATATATGCTAATAAAGTCATATATATTAATGCTATTTATTTAATCATCCTATTGCTTTTTTGTGTACTTTGTTAAAACACCAACTTGACAATTTTCAAAATGTACTTAATATATAACAAACCTCAAAATTCTTAAGTCTTTGCTTATCTACAACAATTTTATGACCCGATTCATTGGTTTTTATCTTCCAATTATCTTTGCCATATGTTCACTGATTGCCTCTTTCATCTACGTTGTCCAGAATTTCTGTTAATAACTCTCCCTGCAATGTTATGTTAGCAATGTAGCTCCACGTACTGTAAAGAATCTTTACCTTCTATTAACATTTGACTAATTGCCAGAACCATTGTTATTTATTATTTATGTGGGTTGGATAATACATACGTGGTACTTTCTTAAAGCATTGATTTAAGAAGCTCTGATTTTTTTAGATCTCACGCAGTATAATATTCCAAAATTCAAAGTAAAATAATATATTTGATGAATACTTATATATTTACATTTATTTCAAGAAGCTTTAATTATTATACAACGTGAGGTTATATCTGCTACCGATACATAAATGAATCATATATCAATTTCATTCAATCTTACTGATTACTATATAATTATTAATATATTTAAATAAGTTGCCACTTAAAACTTTTATTGAATGGATCACAGACTATTAATTCACTCTAAGGCATTTATACCTAACTCAGGACACCGAGTATGAGTTTACAGTATGAAAAAAATGTGAAAATAAATTTTCACATGAAATTTAAGTTCATAAGCACATATCAAAGAGAAATTTTATATTATATTAAATTAGTAACAGCTTTTCAAACCTACTTTTGAAAATTTAATAAATTTTTCTCATAATTGTCTTTAAAATATGCTCTAATAAATTTTAATTTGCTTTTGTGTTCGAAAATACGATATATTTTATTAAATGAAATCTAAGAAGAAGGTTCCCAGATATCTTAACGATCCCGAGGTGCCTGAATAAGTTTGCTAGTGTTAATGAAGAACAACTCAATAATTTTTTTAAATAAGCTTCTACGAAAAATTTTAAGAGAGCAATTTAAACATTGGTAAGCTAGTCTCATCAATTATTAAACTTGTTATATTTTTCTATGCCAGTCTTTTAGTATATGCCGCTGTTGGTAACAGCTACGTACTATCATTTCTTCTTCCCCTGCCGTGGTTCAATTGTTTCACTCTGTAGAAACCTGGCAAACTATATCACTTTTATTGCAAAACCTTTTTTTTTTGTTGCAAAAATGACAGAATGATTATCGGCAAACCTGGTCACTACTTTGTTTGGCCTCTCAGGATATGCTTACTTTTCTACAGACAAATGTCTGATTTGAAACAATAGACAATTTAAAGTTTGACCGATATCACACATATTTCAAAATCGACAGCTTGATTGCAATAAATTTATTCCTAAAAAATAATTTTAGTGAAATAAGGTCCATTCGATCAACAGTTTAATATGATTTCTTAATATATATTTATATATATATATATATAGGTACATATATATATAGGTTTGGTTTTATATAAATGCGAAATCAAAATAATTGCTTGGCAAAGAGAAAAAGATAAAGTTTGAAATATGTTGAAAATCTATTCTGTATGATCGAAAAGTTTTTTTTACTCGTTTTTATTAATTATTATTCTCAAATATTTTAAAATTAAAATATGGTTAATCCCTGGAAATTTGTTATGTTGATTATGTTGATTATTAGTTCTTTGATTAGTTGTAATCAAAAGAGAATTAAAATGACTTCGAAACCATTAATTTCTTCAATAGCATCAATTTTTCTTTGATTACCACTATAGAGCATTAAATCCTCATTAATATCCATGTTGTTCATATGAAATATTAAGTTCAGTATAGTAAACATTAAAACCCATTTCACAGGTATTTGGACTCCAAAAAGTCAAACACCTTCATCATCCATAAACGATTTGCACGAAATTCAAAGCACAAAAATAAATTCCGCACCACCAACTCCACCACCACCGCCAGCACATCCAGTTTGGACACCACAACCATCACCTACAGCTGGACGCAAAGAATTCCGTCCTGTACGTTTTGAATCACCGACACTACCACGCAGGTACGTTGTACAACAAAGTACACCCAATGGTAATGCCCAGTTGCCACCGTGGTCATGTCAATCAAACAGCAGCTCATATGCGCCCCCCTCGCCGCGCTCCACAAATAGCTGCACAAACTTAAGCACACCCACTACAGTATGCTCCAGCAGCACACACTTCATAGACACCTACAACGATACAACGGATTTTACTAGTAACTTTGCTCCCAACACCAGTGTTTCGGATAAAATAAAAAGTATGCTGTGTGAATGTTTATATTTGTTTTATTAATGTTAATGATTTTTCGAAACAACTACTTAGCATTGTGTGTTAGGTTTTATGATTTTATATAAAATATTTTTGATGGTAAAAATTTCTTATGCAGCATTCGAGAGATCAGCATCTGCTTCAGAATTATATCGTCCCTTTGTGCGTCGCCAGCCAGACACAAGCCGTCCTGCGTATAGGCCCAATGAAGTCAGTAAGTATTCCCGATACCAATATAGTACTACTACAGTTTTACTAATGCCCACAACCACGGAAACACGTCACCAATTATAAACTGTAAACACATATTTACTTAGTTTATTAGTTTTATAGTTTTATATATAGTAATTTGAGACTTATTACAGTATAGAGACACATAAATAAAAAATAAAAATATTTTATAAAATCAATAAAATATATAACGCAATAAATACTTTTTGACGTACATTAACAGGAAAAAAGTAATTAATAATAATTAAACAGAAGAAAATGAATACTGTACTTATGTAGCATGAAATCTTCAAATGAAAATCTGTTCTAAGACTTGTTTGCATGTAACTATCGTATAATCTATAAAAAATTAATAAAATTGCATCCTGTTATGAACAGAAAAAAATAATAGCTAAAAATTTATGAAAATGTTACAGTTTATAAAGTTAAGCACGAATACTTGAGTGAACCGGAAACAGAAAACGATCGTCCAAAAAAAATGGCACAACTGGGCCGCAGACAAATTGACGGCATCGGCCCTGTAACCAGAGATGGCATGCCAATTGTTCTCAGATCGGTAAACACAAAAAATTTAATTCAAAATTTGCAACCAATGAGTTTTGAAGATTTCTGAAACTCAATTATGTTTTTTTTTTGTGACATATTAAACAGGAAGTTAAGGAACCTCACCAACATGAATGGTACAAACGACTTTATCAAACCATACATAAGCAGAAAAATGGCGGTAATAATTTACGAATAGTTATACTTATAAAATATTAACGTAGCAATTATTTTAGAGTAGTTATAGGAACAGTGTTTTTTTTGTATAAAATATATATAGTATGTCAAATGTATATGGTATAAAATATTTAAAAAATATAATATAAAATAGTAAAAAGAAGAGATTTATAAACATATATCTCTTTATTTCACAATTCCCTCTAAGTCATAGTAAGATTCAACTTAAAGCTTTATAATATAAAACTAATATCCAATATTACTAACACAGCGTTATCAAATCTCAGAATGGTTACATGCTCCTCGGGAAGGTATGCAGATCTTAGGTCAATTATTGCTTAGTCTGATGTAGTGATAAACAATAATCCAGTCAAAGCGCAAAGAGGAGTTTTGAAGAAACCTCGCAGTTAATAGAGAGTAAAAGTACTCAGGTGCACTGACTCAATTAGCCTCAACGTACTAAAAATGATTTTGCATTAAAAAGCGTATTAATTATAATTAATATATTAATCATTGACACAGTGCTTTATTTGAATTATCGGTTTTACAATAGCCATATTTTGATTAAACAATTTACATTATTTACCATCTTTCGAAATACTGTTTACGCATTTTAACTAGTATGACCAGACATATCTATTTGATAAATCGGTTTAATAATAAGTCTCTTTTGATTGAAGAATTAGCCTTTTATGAATTTTTGTTTTGGAATTCAATTGAGACGATTTCTTCCTATAATTCCCGCAATATATATAGATGTGTAAATCCAAATGCTTTAATATCCTCTAAAATGATTCCTTCTATCAATGAATCATATCACATAATGCATTTCTTTGATTAGAATTTTCAATGCACCAAACAACGAATAAGAAAAAAAGGTAGGCTTGACGTTAACATTTTATATAAATTCAATTCTTTTAGAATCATGTGATGATGAGAAACATTTCCAAAATACTCATAAAATGAAACAAACAATCCTATAATAGAGGTTAAAACTTCTATAAAAGATATTAAAATTACGCATTATCCCTTTTAAGCAGCAAAAGCGATTTTCAAGCCCTATTTTTTACTTCTTTTTTTTGTTAATTTCTAAATAAAACAAAGGATGATTTTAACGATATCTCAGCAATTTTCAAACGCTTTAAATCTTAAAGACTCTGTTTTGCTAATGCCAATTTACTATAATAGTTTTTAGAATCTTGAATCATATTTCGTACTTTTTTATACATCTTAATTTAAATCTTTATTATAAAGTTCCTCAATAATGTTAAAATACTACATTAAAAGGTTATTCCTAAGTTTCTAGGTTTTATATGGCTAAAGAAAGTACCCATGGTTTGTCCATAATTATGTGGCGATCTTTTCTTAAAGCATTTTAATTTTAGTTATAATATATATATGAACATATAAGATTTATTACAGCCATACATTATCTTATAATCTTATTATAAACATTGACATTATTAATATAATACTGTTATAGCATACTATAACAGTATTATAGTCCGTTTTTACGTTTACGAAGATTAATATTAACTTTAATATTTAATATTCACATAACTACTAGCTGTAATGATCTAACTACCGCTGCTTTAACATGTTAAAGAGCTATTATTTAAGACGCCTATTTGATTAAATTATTTTAGCGTACCATCCTTTGCATCAAAGCTTTGAAATGATTTTGAAACTACTGAGTTTTGTTTGACAATAAGACTTGCCTTATGACAAGTTCAATTGAATATTTATAATCTACACAATAATCTAATCTGTTATAATAAACAAATATAAACAGAATTTTTATCTTATTATGCGGTTTGGAATTTTGACAAATTTAGAAGAAATAAAGAGAATAAAAAAAACAAAAAAATTTAAATATTATTTTTTTAAGACTTTTAATAAACAATTTATTAAAAAAATTGCATTGGTTTTGTATATGAAAAGTTCATATATATTTTTTAATTACATATTATTCAAATATTCTAAACAAAGTGTATTAATTAAAAACCAAATCAGCCAATATTTTATAAATAAATATATATAAGTCAGTAGTCCGAAATTTAAAATATTTTTATTAAATAAAATGTATGAATATTTTTGTATATAAAAAGATATAAAAGATATAAAATTTTTGTATATTAATATATAAATATTTTTATATATTGAAATATATAAATATTTAAATAAAATAAAATTTATATATGTTTTTATATATTAAAACATATAAATATTCTTATATATTAAAGCATATAAATATTTTTATATATTAAAATATATAAGTATTTTTAAATAATAAATCAAATAAATATTGGTATTTATTAAATCAAACAAGCATCATATACCATTTTGCTTTCACAAGTTAATTAATATTTATTAAGGCTTGTGACTTATTATAATATATAAATAAATAAAAATTTATATTTATTATATATATTATAGTAAAACGCTAGAAATTAACGATTTCGAAGAGGCATTTTAATTTTGTTGTAAACTTCAGTGATTTTATCTAACAATTCTATGCACTGACAGAGATCTATTTGATATATGCACTGATATATATATCAATATATTTCCAATTAATGAAAATGATTATTATATATGGGTAGAAAGAATTCATTTTCAACATAAGAAACAAGAAATTAGGTTTTAAAAAATTCATCTAATAAATGCTCCCTTATCAGAGCTAACATAATTTTGAAATTGGAATCATTCTTCCCTAAGCAATGTCTTTTGTTAATTGGATAGCGAAATTATTTATATCATTATAAATAAAATAACAGGGATATAAAAAATAATTTTATATTATATTTTAAATAAATATATATAAATAAATCCAAATACAGTTACAGGCAATAAATAAATTTTTTTTAGTTAGCTTTAAGTTCTTAAAATATTAAGCAATCTCAATGATTATATTTTTATTGTATTTAATTAGAATTATATTACTTTATTTATAGAAAGCTTATATTATCTGCTAATAATATCATTA